GATCAGTCCTTTTATTGGTGCATCCTTTCTTGGAATCAGTTTTCCTTGGCCGCCGCTGCATGTGTTTTCTGCATGCGTGCGCGTGGTGTGTGTGTGGAGCTGAGAGCGGTTCTGCGGGGTCAGCGTGGCTGGCAGGTGTGGAGGTTTCGGCTTTCTGCTCCAGGTTTCTCTCTCTGGCCTCGGCAGGTCAGGCCGGAGCTGCAGTCGCAGCGCTGGAAGATCTCCAGACTGTGAGCTCCTTTCCGCCGGTGGCGCGTGCACACCTGCCCCTCCGTCAGCACAGGCTTGCAGATCCGGGACCAGAAGTGTCGGGCGCAGCAGAGCCCTTCCACACAGTCCGAAGACCTGAGACACGTCTCGCCCTCGCCACCTGACAGATTATAAATCACATCAGCGTTCACGCCTCCAGATTTGTGTGATATCAAGCATGTTAGAAGAACTGGAACTTTTGAAATCAGACTTGTGAATTTAAGAAGAGATGAGACAACAAGAGAAATAAAGAGATTAGATAAAACAAGATGAAAAATGTGTAACAAAGCAGGTTCGGGATTATATTAAAAAAAAAAAAAAAAAAAAAAAAAAGAGATGAGAAGAGACCAAAACAAAATGGATGAGAGAGAGACTGAAAAGAGATGAGATGATATGTAAAAAAAGATGAGGAGAGACCAGATGAACAGTCTGAGAAGAAATGAGCTAAGATGAGAAAAGAAATGGAAAGATAAAAGAAAGAAAGATGAGTTCAGACGAGAAGTCCATTATAAGGCAGATCAATATGGAGAAAAGATGAGAGACAAAGACAGGAGTTGAAAGGTGAACATAACAGAGATGAGAAGAGGCAAGAAGAAAGTAGATGAGACAAGAAAGGAGAAAAGACACGAAGAATGAAGATGAGAAAAGACGAGAAGAATGAAGATGAGGAGAAAATACAAGAGATGAGCAATCAAAACGAGGTGAAACGAGTAGAATAGGCAAGATGAGAAGCAGAAGAGGGGAAAAGAAAAGAAAATGAAAGGGGGAAAAAGAAAAGACAGATTTGACACCTTTGAGTGGCTGCTGTGGTTTTGGTAGGCTGGTGGTTCTTTTAGGATGTGTGAAGTTCTGCCCACGTGTTACAGGCATATTTGGCTCATCCGTGTTGCCACCCGGTAGAGCGGCATCTACCGTGCCGGTAGCGTCTGTATCAGCAGGTTGACACACACCTGAGAGAGAGAGACGAATGGGAAAATGAATCTTCATACAAACTATAACGGATACAACATAAAACGATCTCTGGTATGTACCATTGATGCATCGATTTCCAGCGCAGCACATCCCGCCACGAGCGCAGCGCTTCCTCCGCCTGCGGCACGAGAGACAAACTCCGCGAGAGCCGTTACAAAACTCACCGAGTCTGCACTCATCATCGGCGGCGCAGTGCGGCGACTGTGGAAGAGGAAATCATCACAATAAACTTTATTTGAATGGCTCCTTTAAAAGCACATGCATGCCATAAAACCCCAAAGGAATTAGAAAATAATCTCAAACTGAGTCCTTTTAAATCCTCTGTGCGTTTCAGCATCCCGTGATCACGTACCGGAGCGTGGCTGTCCGCGGTGCCGGTAACGCGCGGGCTCGCGCTCACCGCGTCACTCTGACTGGATGCTGCGGGCAGATGCCTGATGGAGTTCCGTAACACAGGTCCAGCTTGAGCATCCGCAGTGATTCCGCCCCAAACCGCGAGATAAACAGTCACAACGGTGAGTAGTGAGAGCATGTTCCTCATGTTCTTCTCTGTCGGTATGTCACGCATAATGTCCAAACTCCACAGCACTTCATGCGTCTCCAGGAGTTTTATACATGCGGGACTGTTTGTATATTCCCGCCCCTTTTAAATGACTGTACGAGGCCATCAAACACACTCTCCACCGCCCCTCTCATCGCCTGCGCAGACGTGCTGGATGAACTCATGTCTGCGCAGGCGATGGAAATAGTTCTGCTAAGGCGCGCAAGCATCCCTGGCTCATGAATATTAATCAAGCTGCGTACCGTTCTATTGCATAACCTAATGAATATTCCGAAGCCACGCCCTTGTTATCATAATACGTCTTTCGCAATAGATGTGCGTAATTACCGTCGCGCCCCCTCAGAAACAGAATGACAACTTTAAGCGCTTAAAGTGGAATTTAAGGGATATCATTATACATGACAGTACCTGTCAGCAGACCTCTGTTAACTAGCTCTAGAGCTTAAACCTGATCATTTTTCTGTCAGCACATAAAAATAATATGCACGTTAATGTTTCACGCGTTTATCTAACTTACTGCAATTAAAAAAAACAGATCTTCCTCTTCACTGAAATGAAGTGCATCTTCTTTGGATATATATACAGGTGCATCTCAATAAATTAGAATGTCGTGGAAAAGTTCATTTATTTCAGTAATTCAACTCAAATTGTGAAACTCGTGTATTAAATAAATTCAATGCACACAGACTGAAGTAGTTCTGTGTATATATATATATATATATATATAAACGGAGTTTAACAGGGTTCAGGATTCACCAAGCTTACATTGTCTACATTAGGTGCATAAATAGCATAGTTGTTAGATAGGCTAATAGTTGAACTATGGCCAGTATTATACGTTTATAAAAAGTAGCTATACAAGTCTGAAATGCATGTGGAGGAAAAACGTTTCACTGGAATAAATTAAAGTGGAATAAAAACCTTTTCCACTAAATGCATTGCCCTTATTGTAGACTTTGCTAAACAATCAGATTTTGGTGTCAAATAGGCTACATTGTGGAATCACCTAACATCTGCTGTTCTTTTTTCAGCTGTATTATTATTAAATCACTTTAGTTGTAACAATTTATTTGTTGAGTGGTTAGCTGAGACATTATTAAAACAGGAACACAAAAGTGTAACTCTATTCAATTCAGTCTTTTTCATAGTTTCATAGAACTGACACCGACGGAGTTGATAGGTTATTAGACACTGTTAGTGCTCTTCACATGAATCTTGGGTTTTGCTGGCGCTTTTGTGTGAAATGGTGAATTGCTGCCCCCTACAGATCATGAGGCTTTAAAAAAATCATTAAAAATCTTGTATGGAGTGTTTCATTAATACAGAATTGAGGTTTAGAATATTTAAAGACGGCTTCTCATTATTTTAGCAATATAACTTTTAGTAGAGGCACTCGGCATTCACTTTATACATGAAACATTAATGAATAAGACAAGTGATAGGTCTAGAAAAATAAATAGAAAAAAAAAACGATTAAAATTTTGTTGTTTAGTTTCAGTAATGTTATTGCTGTGTAGCATATTTATATGCAAATTCATTAATGATGGAACAAATGAATCTGAAGTTATTTCTGCTTTGAGGCTGAATGTATCTGCCTGACTGCACAGTGAACTTACCATGAAACTCATTTCAGAGTCTGGCAGACTCATTTCTCCAGGGTAAGCAGATCTAGCCTATATGGCCCTTTCTGCGTGAAAACAGCAGATCATCATCATATCCTCTGGTGATGCCAGACAAATTGTAATTTAATTGCAGTAAATAATCAATTTTGAGGTCCTACCCGTGTTCTGTCATTAAGGATGTGCTCAGAGAGGAGAAGCAAGGGAAATATAAAAGTCTCAAGAACCAGAACATGTTTTGGTTATATTTCATTCCAAAAGGAAATAAAGAATATTATAAATGAAGTCTTTGGGACATTTAAAACCATATATAATCACTGCCCATTTTTTGCCGAAATATTTGATGTTATGCCATGTGCTAATTTAAATATAAACTATTTGACAGTATTTCTTACTAATGCAGTGTATTTGTAATATAGTAAAGGGAATATACACTGGTCAACAGTTTGGATTAATTAAGATTTTTTTATGCTTTTAAAAGAAGTAATTTATTTGACTAAAAATACAGTAAATACTGTAATATTGCTAAAAAATTAAAATTTTAAAACTTTTTTATTTGAATATATTTTCAAATGTAATTTATTATGTAAAGCTGAATTTTCAGCATCATCACTCCAGTCTTCAATGTCACATGATCCTTCAAAAATCATTTTAATATGCTGATTTGCTGCTTAATTATTAATGATGGGCCTTATTATTAGCAATGTTTCAAAAAAATTGTTTTTGCTGCTTAAGATTTTTGAGGAAACAGTGATACATTTTTCAATAGAACAGCATTTATTTGAAAAAGAAATATTTTGTAACATTATAAATTGATTTACTATCACGGTTTTCACAAATATAGTACAACTGTTCAACATTGATAATAATAAAAATGTTTCCACCAAATCAGTTCATATATAACGTATATTTAAATGAGTAAATTACATTTTAGATTATATTAAAACAGAAAACATTTATTTTAAATTGTAATAATATTTCTAGTAATAATAATAATATTATCGTTTTAAAGCATTTTAAATCAAATAAATATGGCCTTGGTCAGCATAAGAGACTTTCAAAAACATTACAAATCTTAATTAACTTTTGAGTGGTATAGTGTCAATCAACATAAAACACACACAAACACACATATAAAAGTAAAACAATAAAACATCCATAGGCATATGAAAATTTCACAATGCAAAAAAAAACAAAAAAAACCTAATGGACCTAAAGGTAGGCTCACATTTCTTTATGCAGAATTTAATTACTTATATTTATTCTTTTGATTTTGGAGTGAAATATATGTCTGAAAAATACCACATCACCCAAAAATTTAAATATAATTTACTAACCTTCATGACCTACAAAAAGGTGAATTCCGTAGAATGTCCTAATCATGTTTTTCTGCATAGAGAAAGACCAGGTGCTGTCAAGCTTCAAATAAATATAATAGTAATATATTCTTAAGCAGCAAATCAGCATATTAGAGTTTTCTTAAGGATCATGTTGCACCGAAGACAGGAGTAATGATGCTGAAAATTCAGCTTTGCATCACAGAAATAAATTAAATTTTAAAAATAAACGAAATAATTTCCTAAATAAAAAAGCCCAGCTCTAAAACAATTAGCATTTTAAACATTTCAGATCCATAAAAGACAGTGGCAGATCATGTGAGGACACAGTGAGTGTCTAAAACAGTTGTTTTATTGTGTAAAAAAAACACAACTAGACAGAGAGCGTCTGATGGACAGCAGCAGGCTGAAGGGATCGTATTCTGACATGCAGCATGAGGAGCGTCGCAGAATGCCGTTGATTTAAGGCACTAATACTGTTCATGATCTGATACGGCTGAATCTGTGGAGAAATCAGGATTACGTTGTACCTGCATTTGAATTTAAGAATGGCCATAGAAGGCAAACCGATCCCACATCCGTTCCTGTTTCAAATCTGGCCGTTCACAGTGGTCAGTACTTATCTCCTAATTCTTATAAATCTGAGACAATAAATACAGTACACTATTAATGGAGCTATGAATTTGAGGCACATCATTTCATTGGATGAAGTTTGAGAAGACCAGTGCTGGGCTCAGAATATCATAAACCTTAATGGCCGTCCGCCAGGACAATAAATTAACAGCGAAGAGAGGCGAGAAGATGCGTCTATGATGTCTGTGTGTGTTTGAAGAGTGTGATGAACGTGACAGTTAACGGCAGCGTATGCGTGAGTTTCTCAGGGTAGTGATGCTATGCTATTATGTACATGTGCTATAACGAACGAGTATTACTTTAAGAGCAACATTCAGGTCTTCTTTCAAGTAGTCTGCACACGGGTCGGTGAATGAAGAGTTTGCAGCCAATCAGGGAGAAGAACAAATCGCTGAGGTCACAAGCTTTTCCCTAAATGGACTGTCTCCTCAGTCAGCTCACAGTAAAGGTGGTTATCATGGGTCAGTGGTGAACATGCACACAGACACGTGCTCACGCAAGAGATTCATGTTTTGTTGCGACAGCCCTTTTAGAGTCACTTCATTTCATCCACCTCTTCTTCCCACATTTCTCCAGTAGTGCAGACGTCCCATGTGAGCAGTGTTGTGTGTCTGTGTGCACGTGTGTGTCTGGACCTGATTAGAAGTCTGTGTCCCAGCCTGAGTTATCATCAGGCGGTGGGTCTTCAGTGTCCTCAGGAAAGCTGTCAAAGTTACTAGTGTCTGTGGATGATGTTACCTGCAAAACAAAACAAAACAAAAAACTGTTAGCATGCGAGTTATACACTTGTTCACTTCTGTTAAAATTTGGGCCTGTAAGAATTTTTTATTGTTTTTAAAGTCTCTTTTGCTCACCAAGGCTGCATTTATTTGATGAAAATTCAATAAAAAAAACAGTAATACTGTGAAATAATATTAGAATTTAAAATAACTGTTTTCTATGTTAATATATTTAAAAATGTCATTAATTCCTGTGATGCAAAACTGAATTTTCAGCATCATTACTCCAGTCTTCAGTGTCACATGATCCTTCAAAAATCATTTGAATATGCTGATTTGGTGGCCTAGAATTTATTTGACATTCATTTGAAACATTCTTTTGTAACATTATAAACATCTTTATTATCACTCTTGAACAATTTAATGCATGAGTAATAGCAATTAATTTATTTTAAGAACAATATGCAGGGTCAGAAAGCTCTCAGATTTCATGAAGGTGAACAAAGTTCTTACGGGTTTGGAACAACATGAGGGTGAATAATTAATAACAGAATTTTCATTTTTGGGTGAACTATTCCTTTAAGATTTGTGACCATTACAGTAAAAACCCTATAATGCATAAAGTACTTGCATAGAGTATGTTTCTGTCCTAACATCGGTGTAAAATCTGCCTTGCATGAGCGTAAGCACTTACATTAGGGATGATGGGGGGCGTCAGTGTCCCCTTCCTCAATCCGTCCCAGTTAAACCCTTCAAACCATCTGCAAACATGTTCATTACATGAGACGATTCATAAAACTATATCAGCATATTTTTCATGTTCATGTTTTAAAGCAAATAGCAAACTCACTTGTGCTTCTGGATGTCTTTGACTCCATTTTTCAAGTTTCCTAATCTTTCAGACGGCGTGTCTCTAAGAAGAAAAGAGAAATCTGCATTAACAAGAACCGCTAATAGACAGCCAATGGGTTTTAGTGATGGACATACCTGCATAGCTTTTTGATGAGATTGGCAGCATTTTTGGTAATTTTTTTAGGGAATTCTATCATGTCGATGCCTCTAAGAATGATGTTGTATGTTTTCATTGGATCCGGTCCTGAAAAAGGAGGACTGAAAAATAAAGAGGAAAAACTGAATTAAAAACCATTGCATGTGTAGTATAAATTATAAATCCTAATACTTTAATAATGTTTTATCGGTCTGAAGAAGTATTTTTAAACAGACGAAGCTCTGTTTCTTGCCTGCCAGTCAGCAGCTCATACATGAGGATGCCAAGGGACCAGTAATCTGCGGAGATGTCATGACCTTTATTCAGGATGATCTCTGGAGCCACATACTCTGGTGTACCACAGAATGTCCACGTCTTCTTCCCAAAGCCGATCTTCTTAGCAAAGCCAAAATCCACCTTTAAAAGATTTACCCAAGATTTTCATTTTCATGCTCGAGTCTCCTTTGACAGAAGCTAAATCTGACTTCTTTAAAGGGACAGTACATCCAAAAATGAGAACCATTATTCACTCACCCTCATGTTGTTCCAAACCTGTATGAATTAATTTCTTCTGTGTAATGCAAAATATACGGTTTTGAATCATTTTGAATTCATTCAGAATTCATCAAAATATCTTTTATGTTACAAAAAAATCATACTGGTTTGGGATGACATGAGGGTGAGATTTTGAGAGAAATACACCTATAAGAGGACCAAAAAGTGAACAGAAGAAAACCATATATATAAAACAACCTAACAGACTTAAAATTCAGTCTCCAAATACTTTTTGAGGTACTGTTCAATAAAGAAGCACAGTTCTAGGTGACTGCAGGCTATTATTGTCTTTTAATCCTCATTAAACTACTAGAGGGCGAGTACTGGGTGTCCATATTCAATGCCTTTACTGTCCTCACCAGTTTGGCGTAGCCTCTGTGGTCTAGTATCAGGTTCTCTGGTTTGAGGTCTCTGTATATGATGCCTTTGGAATGCAGGTAAGCGAACGCCTCCACCACACATGCCGTGTAAAAGCGCGTAGTTGAATCATCAAAATTGCCCCTATGATTAGGAAAGAAACAGGACTGTTGTGTTGTTGAAATTCAGAAAGCAATTGAACGAAAACACATTGATCTAGAGTGAATTGACAGGTCTCACCTGTCTCTGAGAATAGTCCACAGTTCTCCACCTAAACACACCTCCATCAGCATATAGAGGTACTTACTGTCCTTAAATGTCCTATAGAGTCTGAGAAAACAAGAGGAAGACAGTCAAAATGCCATTCTACAGATTCGGGTTGATGTATTTTCACGTTGTCACATTTCTGATGTCAAAGCAAAAAACACCTTGAAATGTACTTGAAATGTAACTTTTTTCCAGAAAAATCTATCTAATATATTTTTGTTCAATAATATTTTTTGATTATTATTTCGAATTTTGGGGAGATTTTATGATACTATGCTATTTATACATTTTTTATTACCTATTTTTGCCATTAAATTGATATTTTTTCATTCATTTTCTGTCGGTACCAAGTGTTACTTTTTATTTTTCGACCCTTTACCATATCTGAATCATGTCCATGAATGTTTTTTTTGTGTGTTCACATAGCTAATTCGACAAAAGTCACCAAGTGTCATCTCATTAATGTAGCAAAAAATTTAAAAAAATCGAAATGGAGGGAGGAAGATGGTGTCGTAGAGCGGACACGCATTTTGGCGAGCTCCCGTGACATTAGTTCAAATATTCGGTTTAATATATATTTTCACTCAGTGAAATCATTCTGCTTGGTTGGAGGGTTACTGTGCCATGTCTTTAGATCAATATTTTTTAAAAGGATCTGACAGAATGCCCAAAGCTAAGAAGATTGCGCCGAAAAGTTCTACTATCAGCGGCGTCGAGCAGGATGTTAATATGGACGACGCGAGCGTGAATAGTCATGAGGAGTAAAGCTCCAACTCCAACTTTGCTCAAGCTTTGGACAAATTAACCGAAAACATGAAGGTAATAGATGAGAAAGTGAATACTGTCCTATCCGCGATAAACGATCAGACAGTTCAGTTCCAGGCCTTGGTCGAGGGAGTGGGCGAGGCGGAGGAGCGGATCGCCGGTGTGGAAAATTCAACCGAATGCCTGCAAGCTACGGTGGCTGATCTTCAAAAAAAAGTGAGCGAAATGCCAGCTTGGTCGAGGGAGTGGGCGAGGCGGAGGAGCGGATCGCCGGTGTGGAAAATTCAACCGAATGCCTGCAAGCTACGGTGGCTGATCTTCAAAAAAAAGTGAGCGAAATGTCAGCGCATATCGACGATCTGGAGAATCGCGGGTGCAGGTGTAATTTGTGTCTATTTGGGTTGGCAGAGGGAACCAAAGGCAGTGATCCAGTGTGTTTCTTTGAAAAGTGGCTGCCCGATTACTTGAAGATTACAACGAAAGCAAGGCGGATCAAGCTTGATCGTGCTCATCGCTCTTTGGTGCCTTTGCCAGGACCTGTGCAACGACCCAGACCGGTCATCATAAAGTTCCATTACTTTACGGACAAGCAGTGAGTGTTGAACGCAGCTCGTCATGTTGGCATGGATTCCGAGAGGAGCGATGATGCAAATGATGATTTCATTCTTCAACGATTATTCTGCGATGGTGATAAAGAAACGCAAAGCTTTTGATGATGTAAAAAAACGACTGCAGAAGATGAAGATCGAATATGCCCTGCTGTATCCTGCAACTCTATGGCTGACCATCAATGGGACAATGAAGCGCTTCGCCCCACCGGATGACATGACTGCATTCATTAGGCGCGTTTCCATTGCAGTTTTGCGAATTATTCCTTTTACGCATTGCCTGAAAAACCACCTCATGCGAGCGTAAAAACATTTTTGCAATATATGGGCGTTTTTGCGAAATTGACGCGTTTCCATTAGGTGTATTTTTAATTCGCAATTTCAAGTTGCGCAATTTGATGGGTAATGGAAACGTGCCTAGTGACAGCCTGGGCTAGCGTGACAAACTTTCGCGGGTAGTTATGTGGTACATGAACAAAATAATTAATTGAGTGAAGAAGTTGTATCATGTTGCTGAGAGCTTGGTGAGGTTTGTGTTTACCCTATGTTAAAGGTTGTGAGTGATTCTTCTGAGAAAACAGGTGACCATCTCAAACAAATTGTTGACTTTTTTTCTGAGATTAATCTTCCAGCAATTTCAGTTACACAAAAATAATTTCTCAATGGCCCTATTACTAGACAGGAGGTTATTAATGCTATTAATGCTCTAAAGAATGGTAAATCACCAGGGCCAGATGGGTTTTGCGGAGAGTTCTTTAAGGAGTTTCAAGAGTTGCTAGCAGACCCATTGCTTAATATGTTTAATTATTCGTTTGTGGTTAAAGAATTATTCATATTTGTAAATAAAAAAACCTGATGTAAAACACCAAGCTCACAGTATTATTTATGCTGTTGTAATTTTGCAGTGTTAATGCATTCATGTTACATTTCAGCTTCATTCAATTGTCTGTGTAAATGCATCTAAATGCCACTTCAGCTGCTTCTGTTTCTCCAGCAGTGGAAAATTTGGTTTTGTTAATACTGATTTCATTTGATTGGTAACAGCCCTATAGAGTCTTATTATATTAAGTTAAATTATTAATAAAATGTAAGAATTTGATATGAAAGATGACATAAATTCTGCCTACGATAATTGGGACTGATCAAACAGGATTTATACAGGGTAGAAATTCATCTGATAATATTAGATGCCTTTTAAATGTTATTTACACCTTTACAGTGAAATCCATAGATGGGCTAGTACTGTCTTTGGATGCGGAGGAGGCATTTGATCGGATTGAATGGTCCTATCTTTTTTTTTTGTTTTGGATAAATTTGGCCTAGGTGAAAATTTTGTGCAGTGGATCAGAGTGCTGTATACAGACCCATGTTCTGCTGTATTGACAAATGGCTTTAGATCAGATTATTTTCCTATGCATAGCGGCACTAGGCAGGGTTGCCCCCTGTCGCCGCTTTTATTTGCGATGGCTATAGAGCCTCTAGCTGAAGCAATCAGATCTGCAACATCTATTTCAGGTTTACAGATAGGACATATACATCATAAGATTGCACTGTATGCTGATGATGTATTGCTTTTTTTATCTGAGCCTGAGACCTGAGAAGTCGCTCTAATTAAATTGATCGACTGGTTCAGTACCTTTTCTGGTTATAAAGTTAATTTAACATTTAACTAAGCTATGCCTTTAGGTACTCTTATTTCTAAACCTAACATTGTGCCCTGTTTTCCTTTTAAGTGGTCACCTCTAGGTTTCGTCTATTTGGGTATTTCTATCTCTACATCTTTGAATCTGGTGTATGAATCTAATTTTGTTCCTTTATTTGAGAAAATACGGCAGGATTTAGAACGTTGGAATTCCTTGCCAGTGTCTTTGCTGGGTCGGATAGCACTTGTAAAGATGATTGTGTTACCCAAATTGTTATATCCTATTCGAATGGTTCCGATTCTGTTTTCAAATAGGGCATTAAAGGGCCTGAATAGCTGGATGACTTCTCTTATATGTAGTAAACGCAAACCTAGATTAAAATTATCAGTACTTTATCTGCCAAATTCTATGGGGGGGCTGGATTTTCCAAATATTAAGATGTATCAGTTAAGTTCCCACCTGAGATACATTGCAGAGTGGGTTAGGAATGATTCTTCCTCTACTTGGTTAGATATTGAATCCTCCTTTTCACAATTTCCTTTAAGAGCTCTTCTTTTTGTTAAGAGCTTTCAAAACATAAAAGAGATATATGATAATCCAATTATAGTTAATACTCTGAAAGCATGGAGATCAGTCTGTAGGCTTGAAGGTAGATCTAAATTGACTTCTTTCTTTACCCCAATATTTAAAAAATCCTGATTTCACCCCAGGAATTTTGGATGATGGGTTTAAACGTTGGTGTAATTTGGGACTTATTAGGCTTGGGGATATGTTTTCAGATAATAAATTAATGTCATTTGTGGAGTTAACTCAGAAGTACCAGTTGTTCAAACACGATTTTTTTCGATTCCTCCAATTGAGACATTATATTACTAATAACACAACACTTGTTAGAAATTGTGAGATATCTTCTATTGAGAGGTTATTATTTTTATCATCGGGAAAAATGTCTTTGGGTAGATTTTATGGTGCTATGTGTTCAATTTCTTCTGCTGATACACAGACAATTAAAACTAAATGGGAGGAAGAGTTAGCTACTGATATTGATGATGAAACATGGAATGACATTTGGTCTTATGCTAAGAGAATATCTGTTTGTGCACGTACAAGAGAAATACAATTTAAAATCATACATAGACTCCATATTTCTCCTAACCGCAGGCATTTTTTTAACCCCTCTCTATCGCCTATGTGTTTAAAATGTAAAACTGAAGTAGGTACTTTAACACATTGTCTGTGGTCATGTAACAGACTGCAAAGGTATTGGTTTTTGGTGCTGGGGGAAATGGAAAAGATCTTTAATATGCAGTTGGATTTTGACCCAGTCTCATTGGTATTGGGTATACCTAATAAATGCATTGTTTCATTTGCTAACAAGAAATTGTATAATATTCTCTCCTTTGCTGCCAGAAAAAAATATTTTACTTAATTGGATTAGTGATAAATCTCCATCACTTAAAGGTTGGCATAAGATAATTTTTGAACTGATTCCCCTGGAGTGTCTTACCTATGTATTACATCAAAAAACAGGCCTGTTTTATAAAGTCTGGACTCCATATCTGGACTATATGGAACCTCATCTTCGCCCTATTATACTACAAGGAATATTGTAATTGTGTAACTGTCTGGACATTTAACTTTTCTGCCCTATTCATTTTTTTTTTCCCTTCTTTCACTAATCTGTTATATATGGGGTAGTCCTGTTTTATTTAATAATCTGAGCTATGTGTGTGTGTTTTTTTTGTTGTTTTGTTCCTTTTGGGCGATGCCTTGTTATTTTTGTATTACAGTGGAAATTCAATAAAAATAATTATAAAAATAAAAAAAGTGACGTATAGGGAGTCTAAAACTCCTAAGAGTGTATTCAAAATAATTAATTAACAACAAAAGTGATAAAGTTAACTTTAATGTATGTGCATAACAACAAGCATATACAAAACATTTTATTTTTCATTAACCTATAAGAGTTTTCATCGTTGTAATAATATTTCAGAAGGCTGATAGGATTAAGACCAATCACAGTGGGTTTACTATTAATATTATTTGCTTCTGTCCAAAATAAAGCCAGAAAAGGCTAAAGAGATTCAATGAAATTTATGATTGGGGAGATTATAATCTGTCAGACTAATATCAAGCCTATTTTTAGAATTTAAATTGTGGATATGTATGGGAGAGCAACTGTCAGCAAATATTAAACAAATAAATTAATAACTTGATGCAGTTGTTTATTGGTTTGATCATACGGATCTCCCTCCCTGAAAAAAAAAAAATCCCTCACAAATCCCCAGTTTATAAATAGCCTACCTTTTAGCCAAGATGTTTTAGAAATTATAAACACTCAGGCAAACTTGCTCATGAACTTAAGTGTGTGGAAGAGCAGAAAGGTGCTGAACATAATATTTTAACTCATTACGGTTGTCATATCATATTTATCAGACATGGACATTCAGTGAGCAAGCCTACCCCAAATGACAAACAAATCAGAGACTATCTGCTAGTATGCTTACGTGTGCACACCCATAATTAGCAGTCCAAGTCTATTTAAACAGTTATGCATCTAGGCTGGGGACAACAGCAAGCTGACAGAACAGACACCACAGCACATCTACATAATACTGCATATACAAAAGACGCTCGTATACGTTTATGAATACAATTTCAAAAGGGATCAATCAAGGGAGGACAGTTGCCTAGTGCTTTTTCATGGACACAAACTCATTACCCCCAAATGACCCTGACAGTGCCATTAAAAACAGTGTCATTGGCATAACTGCAGTGCATGGCAGAAATTATAACCATCATTTGCTTGTATGTTGAATATTCTTAATAACTGTGTGTTTTGGGCACGTTCTTGTTTGTTGCATAAACATATGTGAATGGTAAGTGTTTGAAGGAGAGAAGCGTGGAATAATTAACACTATTGTCTGTGTTAAGCAAGCTTCGGGGCAGCTAACGGAAGATTAAAGTGGTGGAGCTCAACCTCTCCATATTCATGAAAGCATGAATGATAGTATCCTGCTACAAACTCCTAACCTTTCTGTGTCTTGTATGTATGCGTTAATTAAAATTGCAGTGTGACAAAACTTAAGATCCATGCTCCTTGTTTGTTCCACAGTGCTACCAGAATATAAGTGTCAGAAGATGCAAATATGTGACTGATACTGGAATGCTTTAATGCACGTTCCATTTATTTAAATTGGAATGTAATCTAATCAGTCCCTCTGTACAAAGATTTTTCTTGCCCTCCCCTCATATATTACATATTTGAAACGAAATGTATAAATCTATTTTAAAATGTCATTTAATATAGTGATTTTTATAGAAGAACAAATCCTCATTGGCCTTTCAATCATCATTTAGCCCCTCCAGACCAGCTTTGAGATGATGAGATTAACAGATTAATCAGAATGGTGGATTAAAGAAAACACAGGCAAATATCATGGGACGACAAAATATTGTTTTGGACTTTTGAAAAACAAGACATGGACTTAAGCAAATTCAATTTTAGGTAAGGGTTCACTAGCCTTAATAAACAAACAAACAAAAAATCACTAGGAGCTAAAGAAATGTGGGAAAACTAGTAAAAAATGTCCTGGCTTCAAGAGGTAAAAAACATATATATCATAAGATTGCACTGTATGCTGATGATGTATTTATTGCTTTTTTTATCTGAGCCTGAGAAGTCAGTTCCCGCTCTAATTAAATTGATCGACTGGTTCAGTACCTTTTCTGGTTATAAAGTTAATTTAACTAAATCTGAAGCTATGCCTTTAGGTACTCTTATTTCTAAACCTAACATTGTGCCCTGTTTTCCTTTTAAGTGGTCACCTCTAGGTTTCGTCTATTTGGGTATTTCTATCTCTACATCTTTGAATCTGGTGTATGAATCTAATTTTGTTCCTTTATTTGAGAAAATACGGCTATCTCTACATCTTTGAAGCTGATGTATGAATCTAATTTTGGTTCTTTTATTTGAGAAAATACGGCAGGATTTAGAACGTTGGAATTCCTTGCCAGTATCTTTGCTGGGTCGGATAGCACTTGTAAAGATGATGTTACCCAAAGTGTTATATCCTATTCGAATGGTTCCGATACTGTTTTCAAATAGGGCATTAAAGGGCCTGAATAGCTGGATGACTTCTCTTATATGTAGTAAACGCAAACCTAGATTAAAATTATCAGTACTTTATCTGCTAAATTCTATGGGGGGGATGGATTTCCCAAATATTAAGATGTATCAATGTATTTCCACCTGAGATACATTGCAGAGTGGGTTAGGAATGATTCTTCCTCTACTTGGTTAGATATTGAATCCTCCTTTTCACAATTTCCTTTAAGAGCTCTTCTTTTTGTTAAGAGCTTTCAAAACATAAAAGAGATATATGATAATCCAATTATAGTTAATACTCTGAAAGCATGGAGATCAGTCTGTAGGCTTGAAGGTAGATCTAAATTTCTTTACCCCAATATTAAACAATCCTGATTTCACCCCAGGAATTTTGGATGATGGGTTTAAACGTTGGTGTAATTTGGGACTTATTAGGCTTGGGGATATGTTTTCAGATAATAAATTAATGTCATTTGTGGAGTTAACTCAGAAGTACCAGTTGTTCAAACACGATTTTTTTCGATTCCTCCAATTGAGACATTATATTACTAATAACACAACACTTGTTAGAAATTGTGAGATATCTTCTATTGAGAGGTTATTATTTTTATCATCGGGAAAAATGTCTTTGGGTAGATTTTATGGTGCTATGTGTTCAATTTCTTCTGCTGATACACAGACAATTAAAACTAAATGGGAGGAAGAGTTAGCTACTGATATTGATGATGAAACATGGGATGACATTTGGACAATTTAACATCATAAATAGACTCCATATTTCTCCTAACCGCAGGTATTTTTTTAACCCCTCTCTATCGCCTATGTGTTTAAAATGTAAAACTGAAGTAGGTACTTTAACACATTGTCTGTGGTCATGTAACAGACTGCAAAGGTATTGGTTTTTGGTGCTGGGGGAAATGGAAAAGATCTTTAATATGCAGTTGGATTTTGACCCAGTCTCATTGGTATTGGGTATACCTAATAAATGCATTGTTTCATCTGCTAACAAGAAATTGTATAATATTTTCTTTGCTGCCAGAAAAAATATTTTACTTAATTGGATTAGTGATAAATCTCCATCACTTAAAGGTTGGCATAAGATCATTTTTGAACTGATTCCCCCTGGAGCGTCTTACCTATGTATTACATCAAAAAACAGGCCTGTTTTATAAAGTCTGGACTCCATATCTGGACTATATGGAACCTCATCTTCACCCTATTATACTGCAAGGAATATTGTAATTGTGTAACTGTCTGGACATTTAACTTTTCTGCCCTATTCATTTTTTTCCCTCTTTCCCTAATCTGTTATATATGGGGTAGTCCTGTTTTGTTTAATAATCTGAGCTGGTTTTTTTTGGTTTGTTTCTTTTGGGTTATGTCTTGTCATTTTTTGTATTACAGTGAAAATTCAATAAAAATAATTATAAAAAAAAAAAAAATTAGAAATGTAAAAAGTGACCAAAGAGACCCACAGGGACCAAATGGACTGTTATCAATAACTAAAATTAAACCATTAAAAAAAAAAACATTTTATTTCAGCTAGTTACCAAGGCAAAATTCCTAATTTTTGTTTTGAAGTTGAAGTACTGAAATAACTAAAATAAACTAAAACTACAAACTAAATAGAATAAAAACTCAACAAAATTACTTAAACTCTAACATGCAAACTATAAAAATGTAAAATATAAAAATAAAATCTAATTCAAAATATAACAAAAACTACAACAATATATCACTAACACTAAACTAATACTGGATATAAATCACTGAAGTGTAATGTAGCAGTAGGTGCAGGTCACTGGAGGTACCTGACTATAAAGTCTGAATGTGCCTCCTGCATGATCAGTTTCTCCGAGCGGATGTGCTCCTGCTGTCTCGTGTCCACAATGTGGCGCTTCTTTAGGATCTTCATCGCAAATGTCTTCATCTCATCACTCTTGAGCTGCACCTGAGAACAAAACAAGGGAAGTTAAAACTATTACTTCAACTTTTTATTTGTCACACACACACACAATTATATCTGAATGAATGACTATAATATTAACTATAATTGAAATACACAATATGATCAAAAATCCACGATGACATCATAATTTGGAGAAAAATGCAGACTTTTATATAGGGATGTAACGATTAACAGCGAGCCGGTTGAAAATCGATTCAAATATGTGACGATTTAAATCGGTTGAGATGCTAAACAAATCGCGATTCATTTAGGGGTAGGAGTTTATATGAATGTGCCACCTGCTGGTAGAGAGTGAATCTGCATCTTATTCAGCTTTGCTGTTTCATGCAGATATTTTTATGTATAGTTTCACAAAACTGAAGTCAACACATTCTGTTTTTGCTTCAAATTTCGAAATTATACAATCTAATTTAGATTAAAACTGCTCATGTTGCATGTATGCAGCATCTTTGTTTGGATCATGATTAAAATGCAGTGGTTGCCTCTAATTTTAAATGGAAAGAACACAGACAAAGACTTATTTTGTTTTATGAAGATATTTTTTTTTATTTGTGTTACTTGTTTATTTGGGGCTTGTTTTAAAATTTCAATTTAGTTTTGTTATTTACATTATATTTCAATTTTTTCATTTAGCAGACGCTTTTATCCAAAGCGACTTACAAATGAGGACAATAGAAGCAATCAAAACCAACAAAAGAGCAATAATATGCAAGTGCTATATTAGTATATTATTATAGTGTTATATTTCAATTTCACAAATAAATGTGCAGCATTTTGTCCAAGCAATAATAAAAGGACACATTTAATGTAAAATTTGTCTTAAACCTCATTTTGTAAAAAAAAAAAAATCGTAAATCGAATCGTGAGTTACATCCCTACTTTTATATAATAAAAACATAATGCATTGAAAACATGACGTTCTGTGTTACCAGCTCAACACGGCCAAATCCTCCGACGCCAAGAGTGTCGATGATGTTGAAGTCAGACAGGTTTAAGTTGGAGAAGAATGCGTTCTCTGCCTCGTATCTGCATTTCAACAAGCAGAAAAAAAGTGAATGGAAGAAAAATTGTAGTTATTCCCTCTGTCTGTCTAGTGGGGCAACCCAAATCTTGATAAGCAAATCAAAACTCAAATCTCATGTAATTTTCATCACCCTTTGTCTAGATCACAGCACTGCACAAGCAAGATATATTCTGAAACTTCATAAGGTGCATTCTGGGATGCTTTTTAAACAGTATTGAATAGTAACTAAACAGGATTATTTACATATGTGCTGGGTGGTTGCTTTTCCTTCACTAGCTGATTATTATTAGTATTATTATTATTATTATTATTATTATAGTTTTAAGTCCTGAAGGGCAAGGTAAACGTACCTCATTGAGTCTAAATTTTACTATTTATTTATTTATTTACTGTCTGTTATGTATAACCCAAAAAAATGGGATAAAAAAATGTAGAAATTTGGGAAACAATTATGGGTTACTTTTTGTTGTTATAATATAATATTTTATATTGAATGCAACCAACAGGGTTTTGGCTGTGAAGATCAAGGAGTTTGCATCAGTTCACCTTCATAAAAATAGTTTTGTTCACCACTGATATTTGCAATCATACAGATGATTTATTAGAGGTCAGAATGGCATAAGGATTCTGTAACATTGCAAATAAAATGCTGCTGGATGTCTGTTTGCAGACTGTCCTGTGATCTGTGATGGTCATATTTTCCTCCAGTCAGAGTGCTTATTCGAGCCCATGATGCAGAACTGGCCAATCAAATCCCTTCGCTTGAGCCATGGCCAATGACACTATTGAGCTGCTGTTTAGCTTGGCAAAAACCGCTTTGCAGTGTCACACAGAGGTTACGATTTTCCATGCACACTGCCAAGGGTACTAAAAACCAGCACACATACACAAAGCGTGCTTTAGATAATATTCAATCCTTTTCACATAATCAGTTATTAGGCTGGCAGGGTCAGAGATGTGCAGTGCTGGCATGTTCTGCAATGCACAAACAAGAGTGCAGTTTTGGAAAGAGGCATGGATACAAGCCAAAACTCTTGCTAAGACTATAAACAGAAGAAATTCATTCTTCAGCGGCAAGCTGGAGATGTTTAATGTCTCACACCAGCTGCACGTAAAATAATATATTTAAAATTTGATAAATATTTGAATAAATTTGGATTGCACAAGGTGACTTTTTAATACAGCTCTCAGTCCTTTTAGCCATCTCCTGCATTCAAATGCATGTCGCATGTCTTGAGTCAATCAACCAGAGCATAATTGAGATTAAAACTCTCAAGGAGGAAACAGGCATGTGTATGTGTGACCATCAGGGAGAAAAAAAGTGAAATTCGTAACACTGGTGCTAGCTTCCAGCCTTCTTTGTGCTCATGCATGCTGATAAATAGGTCTGGCACCTAGCAACACTGACATGAATTTCACATTTCTGCTGGACAATTTACTGATATTTTATGCCTGCGGAATCAACAAAATCAGTTTTAAAACGGCTTTGATTAAAATATTAACCTGGAAGGCACTGCTGATTAAGCACATGTGATGCTCCAGGGTCATGGCTTCTCATTTGATTGACCACAAGGTGGCAACATGGAACTTTATAGGTTCTTTATGGACCGCATCTAATGTATTTTGCAATGCCTTGATTTCCATTGTATGTGCATTACTGCAACTAAAAGTGTTTTTTTTTTTGTTTTTTTTTGGGAAGGATCAGTAAAAATTATTTGTACTATGATTAATAATAATAAAAATGTAATTTAATTATACATATTTAAATTAATATAATATTTAAATGATATTAATAATATAACATTTTAAATAAGTAAAAAAAATTTTTTCATAATTATTTTTCATAAAATCATAAATAATTTTTCAAACTAACAAATATTTTTATAAATTTGGTGATATTTTGTCTTTTGTATTTGCAATGGCTTGATATCAATTGTACATGCATTACTGCACATTTATATATATATGTGACCCTGCTGAATAAATCCATAGATGTAGGACAATAATTGGCTGAGATACAACTATTTGAAAATCTGGAATCCAATGGTGCAAACAAAATCAAAATATTGAGAAAATCCTCCTTTAAAGTTGTCCAAATGAAGTTCTTAACAATGCATATTAATAATCAAAAATTAAGTTTTGATATATTTACGGTATTGGAAATTTACAAAATATCTTCATGGAACATGATCTTTACTTAATAGCCTAATGATTTTTGGCATTAAAGAAAAATCGATAATTTTGACCCATACAATTTATTGTTGGCTATTTCTACATATACACCTGTGTGACTTATGACTGGTTTTGTGGTATATATACACACATACACACACACACACACTGCATATATATTTTAATATGAAGCCAAGAGGAATGTTCAAAACTTGATAACAGTCAATATTTTTGCATTTCTGTTTGGTGCTCCTAGTGATGCAGAAATGACACCTTAAGTACAGGAGAGCTGCACACACTGATCTCATTAGAGTGTTATCTATCTGTCAGCGTGGCAGCTGGAGATTTATTTACAGGTTTGTAGTTTGGATCACGGGGGACGCAGTGCAGGAGGTGACATCTGTAGATGTGTCTTAATAAGCTTTAATCTATGACAGTCACACAGGCTACAGACACCTCTTTCATTATTCATCAGAGCTCATTTACATTGCAGATGAGGAGATAAGAGGAAAAGTTCTATTTCAGTTCAGATATGACACAGAAGGGATTTTTGTAGTGGGAACTGAGTTTCTGAACTATCCCAGAATCCCTCTTTCTCTCTCTCAGTGAAATGTGATAAGGTTTCACATTTCTCTGAGCGGATTATTTTCTCATCGCCGCACAATGATTGCATCGCTTTCTCATCATGTTTCTTCAGATCATGAACAGTTGCTGGTTTTTATATAACATGTCTTCTGCATGCTAGCACAGCCTTTTCTGCTTTACAGCTCTAGAGTTACAGTAAACATCCTTGAGCTGCCCTTTGACAACTGCATTGTAATTGTTGCCATTGTTGCTAGACTAGTTTGCATTTTACTAGTACCAACCTAATCAGACATAGGCTACCGTTGACAAGTTTGGGGTCAGTAAGATTTATTTATTCATTCTTTCTTTTATTCATTATTAAGGATGCATTCAATTGATGAAATGTGACAGGAAAGACATTTATAATGTTACAAAAGATTTATATTTTGAATAAATGCTGTTCTTTTGAACTGTCTATTCAAAGAATCCTAAAAATAAATGTATCAAGGCTTCTACAAAAATATTAAGCAGCACAGCTGTTTTCAACACTGCTAATAATAAGAACATGTTTCTTGGGCATCATATCTTCATATGAGAATGGTTTCTGAAGAATCATGTGACACTGAAGACTGAAGTAACGATGCTGAAAATTCAGCTTTGCATCACAGAAATACATTACATTTTAAAATATATTAAGATTGAAAACATCACTTGAATAATTAAATTGTATTTTAAAGTTATTTTAAAACTGTTTTTGCTGTATTTTCATTCACATAAATGCAGCCTTGATGAGCATAAGAGACTTCTTTCAAAAACCTTAAAATATCTTACTGACCACAATCTTTTGAATGGTAGCATAACCCTGTTCTCAACAACATCTGGTCTCAAACAAAACTCAACTGAACAAAAAACAAAACTGAATATCTTTCAGAAACGTAATGCCTTGAACAAACGGGCAAATACAGTGACTACCATAACTGTAACAGGTTGGAAGCCTGTAAATATGACTTTGTTTCTCATCACTTACCAACTGATAAACCCAGTTCACATTTAGAAATTGTAAAAAAGCCAACAGATTATTGGAGCAATTTTTCTGTGCAATATGCATCACTAACTCAACTAACATACTGTCCACAATACGTTTGATAGTGTTATGTCATATCATAAAAAGAGAAATTTTCCTTGTGGTGATGAAGTGATAATGAAAAAATATTATAAATGGATCTGGCAGAGGAAAACATAATAATAACATGTCTTCAGAGATGATTTCACCTACTTTGCGTTTGCCTCTGCGTCTTCACTGCCTTTGTTGGACACATCTTCCAGACCTCCAATCAGGTGTTTGTATGAGCTAAAAAAATGGCACAAACAGCATATTCAGAAAGATTTAATCTTAATTACAAATACACTACTGTTCAGGAAATCAGCAATACTGTGAAATATTACTACAATTTAAAATAACTGTTTACACTGTGTATATATATACAAACACACACATATATAATCTGCCTTAAAACTGATGACAATTTCATTAGAGACACGTCTAACGTGAGAACGTATCAGCACAAAACTGCCATTTATCTTTCGAGAATGAACTCATGTAAAGTTGAAAATCTATCCCTCAAATGACTTAATTATTATTTCATGTCTCTTTCTTAAATTAGAAAGTCAGTAATAATGTATAGTGAAACTTTTATATCTAAATGAAATACTTCAGATTGAAATGTACCATAATCAGCTGTCACACAGATGGCTGATGGTTTGAGTCTCAGTCAGACAGGAAAGAGAGTTTTCCCCACCGGAGGGCACATATGTGCTTCTCTCTCTCTGTCTGTCTGTCTCACTCTTTCCAGCTTATTGACACACGTGACACTTTAGCTATTTAGGTTGAGCTTGATTTATTGAGTTCTATAAGGGAGCAGATAAGCACTTCAAACCCCACAGATTCTGTGTTCCACACACACGCACAAATAGAAAGACCAGTGTAAAATCCACAGATGTTCAATGAACTGGAAAACCTGGACTGAATTACTTCTGCTGGAATGCCAATGACACTTGTGATGTTTTAAGCAGCGTATACAAAGAAACTCTTGCCACAGGATATACGTAACATATACTCACTCTCTGTCAATCACAAGGCAGGTGACAGACTCTGCTGCAATGACATTAGCTGTTCTGATATCCTCCCTGTTCAAAAAACACAGACAGAGAAAAAAATCATGTTAGAACGTTCTGATACATTCAAAATATACACAAACATATAAGATTGTTAATTAGGATAATAAAAATATTAAAATAATTTACATATTATCAAATAAAATAATTACAAAGATATTATAAATGTAAATATATTCGTTTAAATATTACAACTACAATAAAATATTGTAATAATTTTGAATATTTAATTAAAATTCTAATACTATTAAAATAATTATAATTATAGATAAATATATATGTTAATATGAATTCAAATATTAAAGATATTAAAATGAATTATAAGTATCCTACATATAATTACAAATGTACAATACTATTAAAATTATACATAAATATTAAAATTTTTATGTATAGTAATAAAACAACACAGAAAATTAAAACAAACAAAAAAATGAAAAAAATAATTTTTACATACACATATAAAGAGAAATATTAATTTATAATCAATTGTGTATGCACAATTTATATTAGTTCACAAAATTACAATTAATTTTGACTTAAAATCATGAGTAAAATAAGTTACTAAAATAGTTATTAAAATATCAAAATGATCAGTTTCAGCTCAAAGAATTAAGTCAGCGTGCCTCAGAGTTTGCTGATTGTCCTCTTCCTCACTGTCGCCCCAGTCGCAGTCATCAGAGTCTGAATCCCACTCTGACCTCATGATGCTTTGTGTTTTCACTTACCGTCTGACCTGAGCACTGCTATACGCATGCATATACTACTACAGTACACTACACTTCTATTTACACTAAAACAATCACTATGTGACATCTGTCCCATCATTGGCAGTTCTGTCTGGAGGAAGAGCTCTCACACACGAATCTCTGAAAGCAAAAAGGGCTGGACACTAAACGGTAAACACACACCTAAACACACATGCATGCGCAGCGTCTGCTCCTGTGTCCAACTGCAAATACTGCCGAACACCACACACACACACACACACACACACACACACACACACAAACACACACACAGGATCCATTTCCAGCAAAACACACTTGTACTTGCAGAGGTGAGAATTCTTCACAACACATCGGCTCTAAAGCTGTCACAGCACAAATACACAATAACGCTACTGCAAAGGTCACAGCTGCTGCACAATATTACTGAAGGAGAGGAGGAAAATCTGTCATTTACTCACTTTCAATGATATTCTAAACCCATATAAATTTAATTCTTCCTTGAAACACAAAATATATTTTTGCAGAATGCTAAAATAGATTTTTTCCTTAAAACAGCTACACAAAAGGACAAAAACTACCTTTATATACGGAATGCTTGTACACTGCTTTTTTTTTTTTGTTATGGAGCCAAACTGTCCTGATCCCTATTCATGTTCAATGAGTTTTTTTTTTTTGTATTGTATTTTTGTATTTTATGATGGTGTTAAATTTGTCCGTTTTTTTAAAAGGGTCATATGATGCGATTTAAATTTTTCCTTTCTCTTTGGAGTGTTACAAGCTCTTGGTGCATAAAGAAGATCTGTAAAGTTGCAAAGACTAAAGTCTCAAATCCAAAGAGATATTCTTTATAAAAGTTAAGAGTTAACCACGCCTACCTAAAACGGCTCGTTCCAACACGCCCCCACATATCTACCTCACTATGTGGGAAGATTTGCATAACGACGCCCAAATGTTCACGCAAAGAAAGAAGGCATAACTTCTATTTTCACTGTAGTATTGTTGCCGCTGCCGCCATGTCGTGAAGGTGCTGTTTTTCGTTGTGAAAGCGAAACTACTTTGTTTAGTCTTCCAAAAGAGGACGATATCCGCTTCGTCATGCCTAGACTGAAAGGGAACAATAATGTACAGTATGTGGAAAAGAATGTGTTTTTTTTACTTTAAACCGCATAAACGCATTTCATTACACCAAATACACAAAATAATGTTCTTTTTAGCAGCATCATATGACCCCTTTAAATTTAGTCTTGGTCCTGTGTGAAATGTCTGTTTTAGTCTTTCAAATGTTTAGTCAACCAGTGCTGTTTTTGTTTAGTCTAGTTTTATTTGACTAAAGGTCTGGGAATTTTAGCCTAGTTTTAGTCTAAGAAAACTATTAGACATGCTGCACAATTGTTAAACAGATAATCACAATTATTTTGCTCAATTACTATCGTAATTACCGATCATGATTGTTGTCATCTGAGAAATTTTATCAGAATTATCACGTTCACATATAAGCACAAATAAATAAACTCTTATACACAACTCTTATACACTTATTTGACCTTATTTAGTTTCCTAAATATCTATATTTTCTTAAATAAAAAGAGAAAAAAATATATAGACTTTCATCAAGTTTTCATATTGGGGTTGCCAGTCAAGAAAAAAATTGCGATCAAAACCTTCTCTGTGACAAACTGTAATAAATCCTAACATTGATCTCAATTATATATTGTTTGCGGTTGCACTTTATAGTTGCTAAATAAATGCAGTTATACAACCTCTATGCTGCAAAGTCTTTTTTGTTGTTTTAATGGAAAAACATAAATATAATTTGGAATCAATGGATTTAATATGAAGAATTTCATTGTTTTAGCTTTTGCTTTGAGTTTTACCAGTTTTCATAATGCAGAGAGTGTTCATTTATATGATAATTTTGGATATAGAGAGTTTTTACATTTTAAACTACATTTTAGTCTCATCTTTTTTCATCATGGTATTGCAATTCTTTTCAGACACCAGTTGCTTGTCACATTCAAATTGTTTGTCATAGTAACGACACTAATTTGTGGAGATTCAGTGCATTGAGTTCCACAAATCTGAATGCATTATTTGTAAATTGACTGTTAAGATAAACATTTTGCACAATTTAGTATCTGTAATATCATTGTGTTGCCACTAGATGCCTGTATAGCCCTATGTAACAGGCGACCGCCTAGCTCGCCTATGCCTAGAAACGGCCCTGTGTGAACCAATCAGGTGTCAAATGCTTCAGAATGCACATAGACACACGCATGAATTTAATCCCAGGATCAAGAGATTCTTTTATCAAGTTCTGGACACTGTTAATGATCTCCGTAAAGCGTGAGCTCTTACAGGACAGCATTTAATTGATCTCTGAGGAATCGGACTGACCGCGTACAATGTTCTAGCCTATATTTCACCTCCGATCACAACCTCGCAGCTCGCATCAGAAGACTGCCGAGCAGGTCACCTGATACACAACGGAGCATATCAACATGCTCTCAGGATCACTGTTTCCTAGTAACACAACCAAATGCAGGATTATAATCAGGGTAAACAGTCCCCTTAAACCAGACACCACTACAGAAAAATAATAGAATACAACAGAATAAAGCACACTTAAATAGAACAAAACAGAATAGAATATAGCACGATGAACCTGAAGAAAATAGAATAGAAATTAATAGAATTAAAGGGATTGTTCAACCAAAAATGAAAATTAAGTCATTATTAAGTTACCCTGTTGATGTTTAAATGCCATTAATTTTTTTTAGACCACAAAAAGATAAATTTACAAAACAAAATTCCTGTTCATGCTCATCCATATAATGGGAGTGTGACAAGTAGGGATGGGTACCGAAACCCGGTATTTAATCGATCCCGGGGCTAAATTATGAAAGACCGGAGTATCGATAAACTCTGACGTTAACGGTTCTGCTATCGGTACTGGAGAAATTAATAAAACACACATACATTTATTATTGCTATATAAACATTATCTTGCAAATTCTATCTCACCAGAGTCGCCAGCTGTTTTTCAAACATTTGTCTATGATGCATTTTTGCTTTTCCCAATTCAGAAGCGAGATCGCGCCCACGCGGAGGAGCTTCAGCACGCGCAACATGAAAGCCCTGTTTAATTATGATAGAAGAGAAAACTAAACATTCAAACATCTGCTTACACTTTAGGCCTGTGGCTGTTTATTAAGCTAATTTTATTTTTTAATTTCGATTTTGGCTTCTAAGGATTATACAAAAGAAGACATGAGGTAAAGCTATTAAAAACTAGCTGCGTTTCGTATTGTGCAGCTTCTTTCCCTTCACAGCGGTGCGCATTCGTTCCTCCCCTAAACCCAAACTTAACGTCAGAATCAGCTCAGTCGTAGATTGTTGTAAGATGCCGTCTTTACTGTTGCTAAATTGCGGGACATGTTTGATAATAAAACGTTGAAAGCACAATCCGCACAAGAGACGCTGTTCCTCAAGCTGAAATGTGTGCGCGCGGCGCGCTCTAAAACCGACAAACAAATTACACTTTGAGCTTCGGGCACATGTCCAAACAATCAAATACACACAAAAATATGTCAAAATGGCCGGCTTGGAGAGGATTTACTTAAACACAGTTTATGTCTTAAGTGGAGGAGAACAGTTGGGAGAAAATCCGATGTGTGTCAATATATTGTCTTAAAGTGACAGACTGGCGCTTGGGCCATCACAAATTACAGAGTTTCTGGGACAAAATATTCCAAGTTTTTTCAGATACATTGGACATTCCTATTGAACCAGATCCTATATTAATTATATTTGGAGTTTCCGAAGAATTTTTGAGACTTACACGGGTACAACAACAGTTTGTTTCATATGGGTTGATCTCTGCCAAAAAACTTATCCTTTTGTTTTGGAAGAAAAAAGAAGTTCCAGCTCTTAAATTATGGCTGACAGAGTTGACAGGTACACTACATCTGGAAAGAATCAGGTATACCCTAATAGACAAGATTTTGTTATTTGAAAAAATGTGGTCCCCTTTTATTTCCTTTCTACAAACTTGTGATTAATATGTTTATTATGCCTTCAGTACCTACTTTTACCACTGGATAGCACTTATGGGTTAAGTTTTTGGGTGGGGGGAAATGTATTTAAAAAAAAATTGTTCATTTATTATTTTCATGACTATTGTTTGTTTTTCATTTTCTTTTTTAATGTTTATTTGTTCAAATGTAAGTTTTATATGTTTGTATTTAAAAAAGTGTAATTACAAGTGACTGCAAAAATTTCTAATAATAAAAATATATAAACCAAGAGTAGTAATACCGTTAAAACCTTAACGATACCCATCCCTAGTGACAAGCAACCAGCTTCAAACTTTTAAGGAAAAAAAATGCTAAATACTGTAATGTACCACAGAATGATCCCACATGACTTGTGCCCCACTTTCCAAGTGTTATGAGGGCATGTGATAGGGTTTGGTAAAAAAACTAATTATTATTTACTATTATTTAACGAAAATCCTGACCTTGGTCGTTGGTCTGCTGTGAATGACTGCATGCGTTCATGAGACCGTACTACAGCAGCAGTTCAGAAGCACACAAGTGCAAGAGAAATCAAATCTATCAAGTGATAAAACTAAAAACTGCAGTGCAGCCTAGAAAGTGTACAAAAGTATACAAGTATACTTTTTTCTTTGAGGTGAATATCTCTTGTCAGATATAAATTCAAGAACCCGCTTTGGTCAAAGTATAGGTGCCCTATTTCGTATTATGTTTCATTAACTAGTGATCACTCTGTGATACTATTGCTTTTTCACATATTTTGTATGGACGAGCATGAGCTGGACATTTTTTTCCATGAGCCGGGACTCAAACTCGGGATGCCCGAAGTGCAAGAATTTGTTTAATATAAATCCTGAATAAACCTGTTTTTACTCAGTCATAAGAGAGAGTGAGCGAACAGTGCTTTTAAAGATTGTGCGAATGTAATGTCATGTGTTTGCTATGCAAGCTCAGCCACTCTAAACAGTTTATGATTCCAAAACTTCTTACAATTCCAAGAGCGCTTTTATAAGCAGCCACTAGATGGCACCACATCCTTTAAAAACTAATATCTCACAAAAACCTGCCCAGGTCACTTTTCACCACATGATCAAAAGACATTTTTTCATGTTGTTATTATTATTATAACATTTTCAGTGAGGAATTTACATTCCCATAATGCATTAAGATTTTTTCATAATTCTCAAAAGTGATTGTTATCTAGTTCTTATTAATGTCATTTAATACTATAAATATTTTTCTCATTAAAAGTAACAAGAATTAGATTTTCTGCATTAAATTATGTTTTTGGAGGTTGAAAATGTCATAACTGGCATGAAAATAATGTCAAAAAACAAAAACTAGTCCTAAAAGTAGACTTTTTTTTTCTTTAAGCATATGTGAATCTTATAAAATCTTGACAGGTTATGAGAAATCGTCTTGGATGTGCCTCCAAATATCCAGTTTGGAGTTTAAATTTGGCATTAACTGACTTTAACAGTAGTGTAGAGGACAATCTCACCCCTGTAGGGCTTTTTCCCCAAACGAGTCTCCTTTCACCATAGAACGCAAATAGACGGGCTCCTGACCTGGACAGTCCTCTTGAGTCATCGTCACCTGGGCGAGGTGAGAACAAGAGGAAGAGATATTAGCATGGGATCATCTTCACAGCATCACTGCTTGCCCTTTGCACTGAAATAAACTTACCTTTCCTTTACTGATAATGAAGAATGTGTCTCCTCTTGCCCCCTGGCGAATGATGTAGTCGCCATCCTCATAGTGGGTCTACAGGAGAGAGAAAATTGAGGATGTGAAGATGATATGGAAACAGATGATGGAGAAAAATACAGGTGACACTTTCTACGAAGAGGGTATGAATAAAGAATGTGCAGACACAAGACCCAGCAGATTTCTAAATGGAAAAGAGGCAGCACAACATCTCTCTGACCCTCGGTGTGCTATCTAAGACCTTGACCTCCAGACACATCAGTCTGAAATCAGATATGACCAGCAGATAGGAAACCGAAGCCCACAAAGACTGACACAAGCAAACACTTTGTTCCAACATCACCTAGAGTCTGACCTCCAACAAAACACCCACATACACACCTGCAGTGACAGGAGACACATTTTTCATTTATTATCCACAAAATGATCGTAAATTTAAAAAAAGTTAAAAAAACTTATAATTCAGAATAACAGATTCTACCATGATTTATACACTTCAGAATCAGAATGAGCTTTATTGCCAGGTATGTTTACACATACGAGGAATTTGTTTTCGTGACAGAAGCTTCCACAGTGTAACAGAATGACAGTGACAGAACAAAAAACACAGATAATAAAAAATAAAACAAGTAAATAAGGAATAAAAATATATAAATCAACAATTGTATGTGCAGGTATATTACAATAGACAGTTTTGTATGTACAGGTACTGTATATTATGTGCAAATTTGAGGTGTAGACTGAGTATGAGTGTTAGATAAATAAGTGTATGAGTGTATAAATAGTGTGTGTTCCACAGTTATTGTTAAGTGTTCATGAGATGGATTGCCTGAGGGAAGAAACTGTTCCTGTGTCTGGCCGTTCTGGTGCTCAGTGCCCTGTAGCGTCGACCAGATGGCAACAGTTCAAAGAGGGAGTGTGCTGGATGTGAGGGGTCCAGAGTGATTCTGCCAGCCCTTTTCACTTAAAAATGAACATTTTATCATATATTTTACTTGCTTGCTTGTGAGACATTTTAAAAACTAAATATGTATAAATAATTTTTTGTTTGAATTTTTATTATTTGCAACAGATTTCACAATGACAGATTTTTGCTAAAACAAATTCTTAATGGTCCTAAAATTATATGTTTCTTTGTGAATGTAAAATTATATTTCTGTATTTTGATTTGTAATTTAAAAATATTAATAAAAGTAAAGGTTTTATAATAAAAATATCGATTGCTGTGTGTGATGTAATTTTGTAGACGTGTTTTAGATATCCAATAAAAAAATGTTTATATCATAACATAACTAAACATCACATGAGCAAATAACATGCACATAACTTTTGAGAAGAAAGTGTCCAAACAATGTCTTGATTTTGAACAGTATATCTATTATTTTCTCATTTAACATGTTTGGTTTTTTTTACACTTGAGTATGCAAAAGTGTGTTTGTGCTGTCTTTATTTAAATAAATGCAACTTGGTTTGACGTGCATACATTTTAAGTGTAGCTTAAGTGTAAAAATGCGTTTTAAGTACAGTTGTAGCTAGACTGTTTAAGATGAGTGAATACTCCCCAATGAAAAGCACTCAAGTCAGTGTGAATATTCAGTAATGTTACGATTCAGATATATCTGGACTCTAAATTCAGGCAGCTACACTGTGTATGTGCAATTAATGGAGGAGCTGCATCAAATATAAGTGACCACAAAGATGATGACGGAAGGAAAAATTCCATCCATGTGTCCAGACTTTCATTCCCCAGAGCCTCCAACATAATCACACATGCAAAATTAACATTTAAGTTCAAAAAGCTTTAGCAAATTTCAGTCTCTTTTAAGGTCAATTATTAGCTGAAGAGACTCCCTTCCACTCTCTGCAAATTCATAACATTTACTTTAACAAATCACGTCACAAAAAAACCCTGAATTTAAATATTCATTGAGAAATCATGATTGACAGGCGAGTTATTTTAATGACACAGAGCTCACAGTGACATTAAATACTCTCATTATTTGATCTTACTTCCTCACATTTGCTCTTCTGTTATTGTTAGTCAATATCAGAGATTAACAACATGCCTGGTTAGCATGAACCAGCTAACCCCTGCTAGTAGATGCCATTACATTGCCAAAAAACATTGTTCGCCATTGAAAGCCATTTAAAAGTAGCTGTGTGTTTTGATGGAAACGAAAACAATAGCAAGCATCAGTGTTGTTATTGTTAACTAAAAGCTATTAAAATATTTTTTGGTACTCAAAATAAAGCTGAAATAAAATATTGGAGAACTTGGAAAGAGTTATAAATTAGAAATGTTGCCTTGACAAATAACTGAAACAAGTTTAATTTGATGTAGTAAAATGATCAAATATAAATGAATTAAAGTTAAATAGAAATATTAAAAAAACAAAACTAATACCAATTTTAAAATTAAAATGAACAAAACAAAAAAAAATCAAACCAAATTCAAAATATTAATACTACAATAGTATATAAATAATACTAAAATTGGCAAGCAACATAAACAGTGAATATTTCATTATATTATAGTAGATATAATGTACCAGAGACCAACATTATAATGTGTATGTCAGAAACGGAGCTTTATCCACTCAATCCACTTTCTTTATAATGCTGTCAGTGTTTCATGGTCGCTGTCTAAACCTTACAAATCTGATAGTGTCTGTATTAGACATATTAAACATAAATGTAATTAATAATAAGAGCCAAACCAATTTCTGTGTTGTTGTGTTATTGTTATTGTGAGGCTGTGAATCATGTTTTATCACAAAGGCGAACCACAGCTACTGCAAGATTATCAACAAATCCACAAAGAATGGAAAACAACAACCTTTCACCCCTAAACACAGGGAGCTGTGGGTCTCCATCACTCACTCCCCAGTGATAATGTCGTATGCTGACGAGGTGAAGAGAGGTGATGTGGACCTCTGCGAATGATAGACTGACTGATGACTAAGATATTCACAATGTCTACGGCTCATCTTTTCATGCTATTCTTGGATAAAACAATGATTTTGCTCCTTTGATGCTTTGTGCAAAGTGGACCTCGTATGTCGACTGTCTGAGAACCAGTTATTCTCCATCTTATTCAGGATGAGAGAGTACAAACAACTCTATGATTCACTCCACTACGACTTATTAAACCATGTGCATCACTACAAGACAAGAAGGTCTAAAAATGCTCCCAAATTATTGATGATATGAATGAGGAGCTTTTATAACTTGAGTTGTGAGTCTTTCTTGCTGATAAACAGTCCCTGATGGAATCTGCTGATTTATTTATTTATTTTTCACATTTCCAGGCTTAAAAGTGAATAAATCAACATATTTCAGCAGAAATGCATTCACATTTTCTTGGCAGGTGTTTTCTTAAAGTGAGTAATTTTTTCAGTGTTAAAATACTTTATCCCTGTTGTGCGCAAACACAACAATAAGTGGCTCTGAGGTGTTTTTTGTAAAACATTGCTCTGTTTGTTTGATGAGTTTTCTGAACGTCTTGCTCAACCAATGGCATGATTTTAGGGCGGGTTTTTCTCCCCAATTTGTCTCAACCAATAGGTCAAGGTTTTCCTAGTTAACGTGAGACAACTAGCCCCTGCTGATAGATGCCTTAAATACACCCTTCTGCTGACCAAAATACATCTTTCACCATTTAAAAGCAGCTTTGTGTTTTGACAGTAAGTTGTTACTGTAAACTAAAACTATTAAAAGTTGTTTTTGGTATTTTAAATTTTAAAACTTAAATGAAAATTTAAAATGTTGCCTTGGCAGCTAACTGAAATACGTACTAAAAAATAAAATTTAAGCAAAAACAACACACAACAAAAAGAAATAACAATTAAAAATAATAAAAATGATAAAATCACAAATTTACTAAAACTAAAACAAAAACGGACAATATAAAAATAAAAGCTAATTTAAATTTTAATTGATATTATAATAGTATATAAATAATACTAAAATT